TCTTTACTTGGTACATGGTCTGGAGAGCCATGGAATCCTGGGGAGTCGACATTGCTACAAGTATTGATCTCCATACAAGCAATGATACTGTGCGAGGAGCCATGGTACAACGAACCAGGAAGGGAAGCGGGCTATACTCGCAGCCCCAACGGGCCTTCAGCGATGTACAACAGAAAGATTCGTGACCATACCGTACGCACTGCCATTCTAGCTTGGCTCGATGAACCGCCACCACTCTGGAAAGACGTTGTCGATTTCCACTTCAAACAGCAAGGCAATACCATTCTCAGTACAGTGGAAAAGTGGGCCAAAGAGAGGATGGGTGAATCTAACAAATCGGCTACTGAGCGGATGATCGAAGAGGAACTGTACGCCTACGACGAGGCTCTTGCTGAAACCATGGCTGCTCGTTACCCGTTTCCAGAAGCAAACGTTTTGAGCACCATGCTACCACATCTACAGACCGCATTGAGGAAGTACGGCGCTACATTCACAGTCGAATACGTCGCTCCTCCTACCCCGAAAGCCCCAAAACGCAGAATGGTACCGGCAAGTCATTTCGGGCCTGGGCTTTCGCCTTACCCACCTGGACCGGGGGGTCCCACAACGAGCTCATCGGAAGCACCGACGGGGTCTTCTATGGCAAGTTCGTCAGAAGCACCAACGTGGGCTTCAGTGGCAAAATCCTCGCCAGCCCAGACAGACACTCAATCCATGTGGGACTATCTGGATGATTTCGGTGAAGCCATGGACAATCAAAATCTGCAGAATGCTGCACGCGGAAACTTCCACCGCGGCCGTGGCCAACATCGTGGAGGCTTCGGTAGGGGCCAGACAACTGCCAATACGAACGGACCTGCCTTGGAAGGTTCTGCTGAAGCACCTCGTTATGAGCTTAGGTCGTCCGCACGTGGTCGCGGCAGTAGCGATGAACCTAGTACTCGTGGTGGACAGAGCAGTTCCAGTACCGGTCATCCACCTTACAACAGCAACACCATGAACTTTATACGCGGAAGAGGTGGAGCTTCTCATAGCGTCCAAGGCTTTGGTCGTGGGGGCTTTGGCCGCGGGGGTCGTGGCAGTGGTTTGGATGGTTCAGCTCCTGCATTCCCTCCTCCACCTCCCGCCGGTCCTCTTCCGCCCGTTGGGTTCTACAATGTCGGCCGCGGTCGAGGTGGACCTCCTCCGAGTGATAACTTCACTATGGGAGATGCACCGACATGGACTCGTGGGGGTGGACGCGGTCGCGGCAGAGGAGGCGGTCGTGGTGATCGGGGTGATCGGGGTGGACGCGGACGGGGTAGGGGATGAACAGGTGCTCTGTAGACTATGTCAGTATCAGAATGGAAGTTGGCAAAACTTCAACGCGTTATAGGCGTCTAGCTTGTTTGCTTCGATCATTTTCTGAGGGTGGATGCCTGGTCTTTCTCTTGAATGGTGTGATGGTTTCAGCGAAAGATCTTTGCTTGACGCGTTGCTCCATCGCGTAGCATAATGCATGGAAAGAGGCAGTATATTAGCAACGGTATTTTGTAGCAGTAATCAATAATATTGTGAAAGGTTCGATCTGCGAATACGGACGCGTCGAAACGATACGTGGTAGATGCACCTCGATGTGAAAGAGAATAGACAACGTACGCGTCCAGAATCTCGGTGTTATCGGAGATAACCCACATTCCGTCATCGTTGACAACAGCATCTGGCATCGCGACGCGACGACCTAGAAACTTCCCCGCTCATGCCACCTCGCGCCGAAACCGTCTAGCTACCGCGATCATGGGTCAAGGAGCATCGCACGATACCCCGCAACTGACGCTGGGTAAGTACACGCAGTCCACTACCTCTCAATCATACCCGCCGCTTCGAAGTTGCCGCCTGAACACCTCAACTAACACGCCCTAGAACAACTCTCCCAAACCATCGCCCAACGCTTCGCGTCAAAAAGCTTCTCCCCGCTCGAACTCTACTGCTTCAACTCCGTCTTCCGCTCCCTCGCCGACACCGAATCTGGCGTACAATACTGGAGCGAAAGCACACTATGTCGTTTCCTCGAACTGCCCGATGCGCTGGGCGTGGGCTCTGTTGTCTTTCAGATGGCTAGCTACCTCGGCGCTTTTCCACTACCGAGTCAGGCGCCGGCTATACTTACACAGGAGGCGTTGCTCAAGGTTGTTACTATACTCACGGAGAGGTATGGCGCTGTGCTTAAGAAGAGGGGGAAGGAGATTTGGTTGAGGGAGGTTTATAGGAGTTTGGCGATTTATGATAAGGGGATTCGGTCGAGTTTGGAGGATAAGGAGAAGGAGGTGGAGGATAAAGCTAAGAAGGTGGAGGGCGGGAGCAGTAATATGGGGTGGGCGATTGATGCGCCGGATGAGGGGGAAGAAGGGGAGGACGAGGATGATGATGAGTTGGTGCTGGCTGCATTGGACTCCATGGATGCGATCGACGCGTTTAAGCATGGGGAGCAGACGAATGTTCATCATTCGATCATACCGACGGACAACTTCCTCAAGCTGGTGGAGCTGCTGCTGCTCATTGCGCCGATCGACGCCCAGCAAAGTCTCTCGTCACTGGCACCGGATCTCTCAGACAAGAGGGTCGAGGAGTTACGGCAGGCTGCACATGTCATATTGTCGTCTTTCAACGTCGAGAATCATCCGGGTGTCACGTATCGCACATTCAACACTGTCGTCTCAACAACGATGCCGTACTTGTTCAACGGCCTCAACCCACTCTTTGAACACTTCCTCTTCGCAAAGGACTTCGACCTGTCCAAGAAGAAGGCTGGTCCTAGCTCACCCACCCAAGAGAGCAAGCCTGTGATACCTCCACCAAAGGCAGAATTGGAGCCAGTTCTACGGGAACCGGGAGAGATCTTGAACTTGACTACACTCAGCCAACTCTCATTCTTCATCAAGGGCGGCAATCTCTTCCGCAGACTACGTCCACTATACAGCGGCAATACCCACGGCTTCAGCATGGGCTCCTTCGAAAAGCAAGTCTTCAACTGGCGCGCCCCTACTATCCTCCTCGTAAAAGGTCGTCTCCTCCCCCCAACGCCCTCCAGCACCCGCGAACGCGCATTACAAGACATGCTTCCACCCAAGCGCCACCCCTCCAGCATAACCTCCAGCGCGCCCAACCAAACCCTCATCTACGGCGCCTACATCTCCTCGCAATGGAAACACACAGGCAAAACCTGTTTCGGCGACTCCTCCACCCAGCTCTTCCAACTCTCCCCCACCCACGACATCTTCCCCGCCTCCACCTTCAGCAAAGACTACACCTACTTCTCCAAATCACCCACACACCCCGCCGGCCTCGGCCTCGGCACCCCCATCCCAACGCAAACAGCCTCCTCAACACAATTCTCACATTCCCCATTCCGCCCGGGGCCCGTCTCCCTACACCTCGACGACGCGCTCGAGTTCGGCATCTTCACGCATCTGTCTGAAGGCGGGGGCTCGTTCCTTCCGAGCAAGTTGCCCGGCAGGAAGAAGAAAGATTGGCAAGATCGCTTTGAGATTGAGTGTCTGGAGGTGTGGGGGTGTGGTGGGGATGAGGTTGCGGAACAGCAGAGGAAGGAGTGGGCGTGGCAGGAGAGGGAGGCCGAGGCGAGGAGGAGGGTTAATCTGGGGACGGGTGATGCGGAGATGGATAGGGAGTTGTTGAAGATGGCGGGGATTATCTCGGGGGATAGGAGTGGGGGGAGTATGGGCTGAGATGAGTTACGACGTAATGATATACACGAGTACTATGGCTGTGAGCTTATCCTGCAAGTGCAGTCGAGTTCCAATTGTTGCAGTAGCTGAGTGACCTATCCCAATCTCGTAGTGCCGTGTTAAACGCCTGTGATGCCTTGTTATGCATACATATGATACAGCTCCTCCTCTTTCCCGTATTGTATTCTCAGATCCATCAATCGCATCGTTTCATGCTACTGCGTCGTTCCTAGAGTATCCAAAAGCCCATCTATCCTTGCCTACGCGCTGTTAGCACCCACCATCCATACCCATTTCCACCACCCAAACTCACCTCTGCTTATGCTTCGGATTCTTCGAGCAAATAATATAAACATATCGTCCCTTCTTCCTCCTCACACTCTTGCACCCATCACACAGCTTCTTGACTGAACTCCGCACTTTCATGCCGCGCGTTTGTATCCTTCCTCCCATGCTCATTCCCTCGAAACTGGAGATGAGACTGCGGATTCCAGTGTTGGGTGCTGAGCGGAATGTGGAGAGGGTGGGCCGGACGCAGGAACATGTTGGGGTGTGGATATGTTGGGTGCGTGTGCGGAGGGTGGTGCGCAGGGTTTGGAAGGTGGACGGCCGCCGGATGGGCAGGGTGAGGGCGCGGGATAGCATTGTGTGGGTTGCGGGGTGGGAAGGGGCCACGGGTGGCGGGGAGGGTGTGCGATGGCGGGTCGTGGACGGCGTGTAGCTATGGCGATAGGCCTGGTGATGACGGCGATGGTGTTGCGGCGGAAAATCTATGCCAAGACGCTAGTGGGCTCGAGGAAGTCGCGCTGCGATGGAGGTGTCTTCTGAACTCCACAACTCCTCTATCTTTCGCACTCGAGCCTGAGGGGTCTTTTTATGAGCACCGACTGTTCAATGGTAGTCATCGCTTATGATGCATACTCGAATTGCATCTAGGTTTTATCACGCGTCGGAGAAGATGCACATCATACCCAGATTGAGCGCACATTTGAAAGCCTACCTCTCTGTCTGCGGACCAGCTACCCACTGGATCGCTCGATGGTCTTTACTCATACTTTGGATCTGGGATAAGCGATGATGATGTTTCTGTGGAAGGAACCAAACCGTTGTACGAAATGGCCGCATTTCTCGGTCGAGGGTCATTTAGCTTCGTCAGGTGATGTGCTGCTGCCTCCAGGTTTGGCAACATAAAAATCCGCCATACTGCCCTTTTTTCATCTCTACCAGAGCTCACGAAGCTCCCAAGTTCTTCTATATTTACCCTAAACCAAAGCCATGACGACCACATCACCCACCCCCAGGATCGTGGAACCGGCCGGTCAGCAGCAAAGCCCCCTCTGCCGCCTGCCTCGCGAGCTGCGCGATGAGATCTACGACTACTACGCCTATGACGAAGAGGGTCTGGCATACGACTACTCTTCGAAGACACTGAAGTATGCCAGTGGGGCAGAGCTCAGCCTGCCGCTTACTTGCAAGATGGTAGCTAATGAGATGAAGGGCACCCATCTACGTGTGAATACCGTCACGTTCATCCCTTGTTGCTCGAATACCGACGAGGATAGACTTTGTGAGCGGCGTTCACTAGCAGGCAGGTTTGAGCATCTATTGAGGTCAGCTCGACTGACAAAGCTGAACATGCTCAATTACGCCGCGGAGTGCGTGACTAAAGACGTCATCGAAAAGGTCATAGAAGTATATCCAGCCGTCCGCGACGCTTTCCAGTCTTTTTTCCACGCAAACCGACCAGGCTTCGATCTTTCTCATATAGAATGGACTGCCCATATACCACGAGATCTCTTCACTACATCTTTCTGCGACGCAGTACAGTACGCTCTGGACCTTACTTCGCCTCATCCCAAATTCCAAGAACTCATCTCCAAGGCCTGCGAAATGCCGCGAGACTACACGTATGGCGACCCATTGTTCATTCCGGGATCGCATCAACAGGTCCTCGAATGGCGGCCCGCCCTATGGCTAATCCCCTCTCATGACGACCTTTTCCCTATGGAAGAATTGTTAACTGATGCCCAATGTCCAACAACGGAGTGCGAGAAACGTCATCGAAGGATCAACTTCTATTTCTCGGCAGCCGCTGTATGTATCGCCAGGCTCAGCAAGCTCACACCTAGCATTCGCAAAGAGCTGCGCTCCATCATACTCCAAGAGGATTGCAAAAGTGTCGGTAACCCCGAGGTCCATGCCGAAGGCCTCATCAAGTACTGTACGGAGAACGGCAAGCTGCGATTCCAGATGCAAGCAAGCTTCTCTACTTTGCTTGCTCCGGCGTTCTGGTCCCTCCCGGGTCGGCTGTTGAACGATCCTGATACAGAAACACGCATTCACGTGTACGCTTATATTCGCATTCTGTTGGATTGGGTGATGCGCACAACTGCATTGGCCAAACTCGGGATGCCAAAAAGGTCTTTCACCGTGGTTCTTGACGCTCGTTCTGAGCAAGCTACCTACATATGGCAGTACTTCTCCAACGCTGCATCTACAAGACTTCACTGCCCAAAAGAGCTTATATCTAGTAGCGGATCTCAAGAAGCTGGTTTGTTCCTCATGTACGCGTTCATATGGCAACTGCCTGTGGAGCTCTGGTCTATAGTGGTGGACATCATCAACGATGAGTCCATGATTCGGCTCAAGATTCCTGACAGCGAGCGCTTCAAGCAATGGACGTATGTACAGCCATATGATACGTGGACATTTGGGGACTGGTTTCGGGCTTACACACCGACCCAGGATGAAGTCATGTTTCCTGGCGATGCAGAAGCATACCGTCGAAAGTATTTCGAGGAGCGTTCTTGAAGTTGCAAGAATCACGGATCGTAACATCCTTATGGCGAACGGGAAGTCAATATTTGCGCGTATCAGAGTAGCTAGTGACTAAGTTGAGCAGTTTCAGTACTCCATATTTACATCCTCCACGTATCTTCGTACATGCGTGTTACTCCACCTCTGTGCGATCATTGCCAGGCAGTGATTGCTCATGAGATTCGCTAATCTCCAGTACCATGGTACGTTGCCGATAGTAAGGACCCCGCCTGTGTGGCCGCTCGAGAACATGGTTTCAATGGCTCGGTGGGAAGTCACATGACGAAGGCTGCCTGTTGTAGCGTCTACGCGCAAGTTCTGTTTGAAGCCCCGCGTCCCTCAGCACCTAGAGTCGCTTCACCCAAATCTACAAAACAACCGGCTTACCGATCCTAGTCATCCTCAACAACATGATCGAACAACTTACGTCGCCACTATTTCGGATACCAAGGGAACTCCGCGACGAGATTTACGCCTACTATTCGCATGAAGACGACGGACTTCTCTACGACTTTCCGTCGCGCCGCCTGCGCTTCGTAAACGGAAGAGGTTTGGAGTTAAGTTACACATGCAAGGCAATCGCGGAGGAGATGCGAGGTCTTCCCCTTCGCTTCAACACTATTACGTTCACGTCAAGCTGCGACGAACCAGGAGATGATGACTTTCGCGGACTACGCTCCAGAGCATCACGACTCGAAAACCTCCTCTATTCCGCTCGATGGACCAAGCTAGTCATGCTGCATTACGTTGCAGAGCTCGTGACAGACGATATCCTCGCTAATGTCGTGCAAGCATTTCCGTACCTAAGCAGTGTTTACAAGTCTGCCTTCCGAGCTATACAAAGCGGCCGAGACTTCTATCATATGCGTCAACCCGATGCAATGGTCCAAGATGTATTTACGAAGTCATTTTGCGATGCTGTGCAATACACTCTGGATCAGGTCGCTTCACTTCCAAATTTTGACACGCTCGCAGGCAAAGCTTTTACCTTACCGAAGCACTACCAATACCAAGGGCGTTGTCCGTTTCTGGAAGGAACACACCGACAAGTTCTAAACTGGCGCCCAAGCCCGTGGCATATACCCACTATCCGAGAACTACAAGTCCTTGAGCAGTTGTTAGCGCCGGTTACGCCAGGACAATGGAACTGGACTGGAGAATACGAAGACGTCACGCTCTATTGTTCAGCGACGGCGATCTGCATCGACGCGCTCAGCAGGGTCCAGACTGATATGCGCAAGAACATCCGTTCCATCAATCTCCAAGAAGAAGCTCGAGGTATCAGTAATCCAGAAGCTCACGCCGAGGGCCTCATTCCTTTCTGCTTGGAAAATTCCAAGCTACACATCCGTATGCACGCAGGATTCTACACCAATATTGTCCCTTCTTGCTGGGCTAAGTCGGAAGCAGTCAGACGCCCGCCAAAATCTGTCACATGGTGCCGTTTACACGATCACATGCGCGTTGTACTCGAATGGCTGATCCGTCTGGCGGCTCTACCATCCCAGGGCATGCCATCAGCATCCTTCGTTGTCGAAATTGAAGCCCGGTCTGATAAAGCTGCTCATATATGGAATAGCATTATCAATGCTGCTACGCTGAGAGCAAGCCTACCCGCTGCCATGACAGACTACGAGGAGCGCGATATTCAGGACGAGGAAGTCTTAACGAACATGTTTTCTTGTGTTTGGCGCCTTCCTGTTCAGCTCCCATCAATGATGGAAGATATCGCCAATCAAACCCTCCCGGTTCGTTTGGACTTAGGGAACAATGATATTTCCCCAGTACCTGTCGTATTGAAGGACTGCTCGGCTTGGACACTCATCGATTGGATACGAAGCTACCCCCCGACGAGAAAACGTGTCCAGTTCCCTGGAGATTCAAAAGCCTATTGCCGAAAGCATTTTGTGGAACTTGAACAGCCCGTATAATTGCACCAAACTACAGGTATGTGAAAGGTACTTCCGAGAAGGAGCAACCGCGATATCCTTCGATCGACGCAGCATTCATTGCTTTGTACATGTAAGGGAAAGAAGAGCTAGCTGTGGATCATGTTGCAGATGCCACATATGCAACGCTACTGTTGAAGAAACAATCTTCCCAAGTCGGAGAATTTAGTTCCTGGCAGACTCGGTGTTTTTGAGGCGCTCAAGTGCCAAGTCGTTGCTAAGATTAGTTGTGAGGACGTGTGCGGATGACTGTATGGACATGCCGAGATGTCAATCTGCGCGTAGGCTTCACATCGACTAGGACTCAAGGCCTGGAGGCCCGCACTGAGTACCGCTATTGCGATATTTCTGGTCTTTTAACAATGAAACGATGTCATCTAGTTGAATATTTGATGATGAAGCTGCGATGAATAATGGGTGTTGAATTGAGGGAGGAAATGCGAGATGAAGACTATGGGAGGCGCCGAACCTCCCCTGTCGCTTCTTGTCGCGGCGATCTTGTCAGGGTTGCACAGGACGACCCTCATTAGTGGTAGCCGCCAATCCCATCAACTAGCTTTTTTTTACAGTCGCGAGCTTTGCTCTCACAGGCACGTTGTGCTCCGTGTTCTGCGTATCCGGAAACCCTTCCAACTCCACACCCTTCCTGAAGATCACACAGTGCGTACTTCCACCATAGTGAAACATGCCAATCTCATCACCCTTCTTGGCGTGCTGGCCCTCCTTGACAGTGGTCTCACACGTCGAGACCCTCAGTCATTCCGATGCCCATGAAGCACACCAAGCCGAGGTCCTTGTTATCAGCTTCAAAGATGATGATGGCACGTGTAGCCGTTACAGTAAGATAACCTTGACCTGTCTTCTCGCCGCTTTCGTCGATATCACCCCCAGCTGAAGGGTCACCAAGGCTTTCGAAGACTGGCTCGGAGAAGTAGGTACCTTCAACAAGATAAGACTCCACAACCTTACCACTGACAGGCGCGTGCCAGCGATGGTAGCTCAGCGCAGAAAGGAAGGCTTGATAGATAGTGCCACCGATGAATTGTTCGTGCAACGGGTCCATCGCGAGCATGTTCATGAGAGAATGAGGTTGGCCCTTCATCCAAAAGCAGTCGCGCTTGGAAATCTTGCGGCCCACCTTATAAGGCTTCGGTTCACGGGCGTTAGCGATGACGCTATCGTCGTCGGGACTGGCGACGGGCCGCTTGTCGGCGTGGAAGTGGCGCGTGAAGAAGTCATCCCAGGACTTGTACCCATGGTGCTTCTTACGACGGATCGCAGTGGGAAAAAAAATCTTCGAAAGCGTAAGACGTTCGACCAACGTTCGGTGTCAATGCGAGATCTTGAGTGCCATGGTCGCTGAGCCAGCCGATCTTGTCGTCACTAAGCACATATGTTGACGATGGTGAGGCGAGAAACTCTGCCATATGTACGCGCTCGCCCAACATTCTATAAGCTATCCCATCTGCCCTGGAAGAGATCATACATTATATGCGGCGAGCTTGCATGATCGGGGGTGTTGACTTGGTTGCATCGCTACCGCTCTGGCCATGGAGGAAAAGCGGGCTGCATTCTCATTACGACCATAGCCGGCAACGCGAATGCGCTTTTTCGGCCATATAGGTGCTGTCATGGACAAGACAGCGAACGGGGAAATACCTCTCTTCTGCGATGCGATACGGCATAAGTATTTTCGTACACGTTGCGTCATTGATGAGGAGAAGAATTTTGAAGTCGACACTGCGATGAACAACACGAACGGGTAGATTTGAGATTTCCGCCAGCTCGTCGTTCTATTACTTGCATGTCTTTTTGACCCTTAGTATTGGGTGTAAAGAGAGGGATTAATACTATCTCTTGCGTGCCGCAAGCTCGAACAGAGTCAAATCAGTATATCTCGATCATTTGCGTTTGCTTGTTTGTGGGCCGCTCAATACCCGGTCCGCATCGTCCTTGCTTAGTGCCCGGGTTCCAACAATCAAGCTGCAGCGCAGCCCATAACAAACATCCAGAGACGATCCTGTATCGTTGCGAGCTAACCCTGCGTAAGACAAGAGGTATCCTGACGCCATCAACTGCAAAAATCTCATCTCCCTTCTGAATTCCGCCGCGAGATATACCAATGCTGAAGTGACTGGAGAAGAAGTCGCAACGTTGGTATCTTCTCGCCTTTTTTAAGAAGATTATCAGGTCTTCTAACTTCGCCTGCAGTGCCTCTCCGCCGGGTGGGGTAGCAGCTTTGGGCCGTTCCTCTTGGTGACAAGTGGAGTGTGGAATATGGGGATCCCATGGAGTGTTCGAGCAATCATCTCCAAACAAAGGTTTCATCCACGTGTAGTAGCTGTGTTCCAGCCAATGCGTATCCCTCCACATGTGATCCATGTCTAAGTCTCGACTACACGTCTGACCACCGATGTTTCCCTCTATATCCGGTTGGCAGATGCGATCTAGATAATGCGCTTGGACGCGTAAGCGGGGTAGGAAGTCGGGATGCGCTGGCTGCGGTAGTTCAACGAGGCATGATATGTTATCGTGGCTGGAAGCTTTTTGATAGTCGCCGGATGAAGCTGTTTTGATTTCCACACTCGACCGCCAAAGTCCTTCGGTATCACCTTCGAACTGAGGAGAGAGTGCCCAAATTGGTAGAAGGGGAGGTTCCTGTTTGGATTTCAAATAGCAGTCTAGACGATAACCATCTAGACAAGCACCAGTTTGCCAGTCTGCCGTGATTGGGTTGCCCACGCCAGCATACGATAAGATATCCAGAGTTTGACGAGTCGACATTATGGTCGTTATGGCCCTTGCGTGGACCGATCCATTACTCATGGAGTAGTCGACAGGGATTAACGATCGGAATCGCGACTCCATCAGGCTCAGTACGGCGAAGATCCTGTCGCGGGGATCTGTCATCTTGCATCCAGCACCAGCATGTAGACAACAAATGATATCCGCTTTACCCTGTTGGTTGAGGCGCCAACTCAGTGAGCTTGGCAAGTGCCCGTGCGCGGTCGTCAATTGCTCAAGGACAGAGGACGTCAGGAACAATTCCTGGCCATTCACCATCAGATAGACTGCTTTAGCGAATGCAACCTCTTGTATGACCCAGATCCGCTGGAAATACCTCAAAGAATATAGATGAATCAACATGCAGGCCTCCCAGGAAATGGCACCGTATGACTGAGCTCGGAATGAATTTCGAGTACGCGCAGAGGATGGTCCGCAAGACTTATCTCGCCCCCTGTCACTGTCAGAGTGAAGAATTTCGAATCCTCGGAACAATGCACCGTAATCGTCGTAGCCTTTGGAGGCTAGAAGGTCCTGGATGCATATGCGAACGCTACTAGCACAGAAGTATATGCGATCCATCAAGCCGACCTGATGATTCTTTTCTTCCACATTGTCTTGATCAATACCTATAAACCAAGATCAGTGTCTATTATAGGCCTTCGTATTACTTCATGGGCAATACTAACATATAGCATCAATCCACAGTCGGACTCGATACCAAAGCCGTCTCAACTGTCGAAGAGCCGCTTCACAGTTTGCGGTAACCGCCATCACACCACCGTTAACGCATCGAACAGTCCTAGATAGGCTGGCATCTCCAGATTCCGTGGCCCATGTATACGAGACGGCGTCGTAGCCTGGGTGGTCGTCCAGATTGACGTGGATGATCTCGCAGCAAATCGGATCAGCCGGGTGCCCGGGTAAGAGCACAACCAAGCGAATCTCCAGACCAAGCTTGTAGTTGAGTTTGGTATATCTGTAATGGCCTGTGTTGTCGACGTTCTTTGCGGAAGAGACCGAGGCTGAAGCCTCGAACACTGTCTCACCGCAGGCAAGGCAGCATCTTAGACCGTCGAATTTCCGTATGTCCGGATGTTTGCATGCTGGGTCTGACATCTTTACTCAGCGGCTGCTGTTCTGAACTTGCGTGTATGCGTGCGACGACCAGGAGATGGGGGGACCATGTTTGGGGTAGCTGTAGAGAATGGTGGAAGGCAGCAGGCTGAGCCTGACTAGTGATGGTGGCATAGTGCATGCATCACACCGGCTGTGCTCAACCAATCGGTGAGCGTTGCGTCCACACCAGGCTGAGACTGAACCTCACAGCGAATTCAGTCGCGTACGCATCAATATATATTGATCATCTGCGTACCCATCGCGTCCATATGGCGAAAAGGATCAAAGTCCCATCGTTGATCCAGTCCTGTCCCCGCTGTCGTCCAACAATCCAGATGCGACAAAGCAAACAGGTGGCAGTCACCCACGATCACGAAGCTGCGACGACCAGCCATTCTGGACCGCGCATTGTTCTCAGATCTGAGAATCAGCGGAACTGTGCAACCATCAATCGCCCATACGGTATCGCCCACCTCGAAGTCATGGCTCGTTACTGCGGGGAGGTAGCCAGCCCGAAAGACGCGTTTGTCTTTGCTGAGCGTTTGAAGCTCAGCGCAGAATTGTTGTAATCCAATCCGGTGGAGATCCCCAGCGCTTGTTGTTCGAGATTGGGGTTGGTTGAGCCGAGTAAAGTGAGGATCGAAGAGCCATCTATATCGCGCAGGCCACGACTGCATATCAAAACTGAGCGGTGCAGCGTCACTATCCATCAGATTCTTCAAGCCGAAACCAAAACCCTGAGCGCCTTGCCATCGTCGAGTATCGTTGTCCCCTTGCATAGTGGTGCTGTCTATGGTTGCAAGACAGTGTGCACGAACTTCAATGGACGGCTTTGAGTAGATGTTGGCCGACCAGCTGGCGGGTATGTCAACCACTGATCCCCAATCTATCTCGCGAGGCTGAGCAGCTCCAGGCCGGTTCCACATCAACTTCTCCAACGAATTCCAGGGCCCTATCTTCGGGCTTTGAAATTGAGGACGTATCGTGATCTCGCCTGTACACTCAGTCCAGTCTGGTACCCAAGTCGGCAAGTCAAGCCGCGCGGGTCTTGCTCTATGCGATGCATATGCTAATATTTCGAAGTCTTCTCTGCAGATGATGATTGCGGCCGCCGCGCGTGTCATAACTTCGTCGACGCTTTGTGAGTAGTCGATCTGCACCAAACTCTGCAAGCGCTCGCCGACCAAGCCCAAAAGACCATATATCTTGTCCCTCGGATCTGTCGATGAGCAATTGCGTGTCATATGCAACATCGTCAGTAGGTCTCTCGTTGGCGCACTGACTAGTGGGTCCCAGGCTAGTGGACCGGGTATCTGCAATCCAGATATTTTGGCTCTTCCCCGGATGCGGCTCATCAAATTAGTATCCATAGGACATGATGTGTTGCCGGTAACCATCACTAATTTCTGCGCCAGCGCTGCTTCTTGGATCACCCATACCCGCGAGGCCCATCTCTTGGCAAACAGTTTCTTCAGCGCAACTTGTCGTCTCTCGGTATCTAGCCATAGATTGCGATTACCGAATCCTAGGTCTTCTTCTCCTAGGTAGACCAAAACTTGCGAAGCGCCTGAGTATATCCTTGCCATGATTGAGACCTGCTGGTTTCGCTCTTGCATGTTGCTTTGATCAATGGCGAGTGCATCGACCCACAGCATTCTTTCTTGTGAGGTAGATCTTAGCCTGCGCAACGCAGACGCACAGCTCAGAGTTACTGGCAGAATCGAGGTGTGTTCCTCTCCAAAGTAAGCGCAATGAATCCGTTGTGAAAAGCTAGCGTCTCCATCTTCGGACGCCCACGTGTAGGAAAGGGCCTCGTATTCGATGTCATCATCCAGGTTCGTGTGGAGGAGATCGCATCGGATAGGATCGTGAAATTCGCCGGGGTAGAGACACAAGAGGCGAATATCTTCACCCTCGGAGGGGTCCAGCGGCCGGTATCGGAAGCTGTGGAAAATTTGAGGTTGGTTGAAATGCGTGGGTTGATCGAGTGGCATCGCGACGCGCTCTTCGGAAAGCGCGTGCGAGTTCTTGGTATGACTGAAGAGAAATTCAGTCCATGCGTACGCGTATGTCGATCCTGCAGATCGGGTTGGCAATATGCCGAGTTGTGGTAATGGAGCGCATCGCGACAGGTTTTGCCGAGGCCGGGCAGATAAACCTCGGTGCACGAGATATATGTATATCGTGGGATCTAAAAATACACAGGGTTTGCGAGGAGAGAACAGTGGATAACTTGCGGCATGACGCCGAGTGTGCGTGCGGTGCTTTAGGAGGTTGCTGTGGACGCGTGGCTGTGGCTGCTCGGCTGTGGCTGGGCTGTTGATGACGCAAGCCTCATGCCTTCGACGCAGTTGGACTAATGTGCAAGCACAATACCAACAAATGCTAATAAATTCATCTACTTCTTGGTCTTGCTGTCAGAAAAGGCATTTGAGTAAGGGTGCTAATGGCTCGGCTTTGCCAAAACCTCCCATAGTGAGCTGCTGTCTCGCAATCTGAACCAAAAAAGCAACTGCACAACGTTTCAAGTAGCGCGATAATGTTG